ATACTAGAGCATTCGCCAAGGTACAGGATAGTTCTAGAAAATAGGTGGCGCCACACCGGTCATATGACCTCGATGACGCAACATTTACAACGATAATATTACCACATACCATAAAATCCTTTCCAAACAATGACAGGAGAAGTACACAAATCCAAGCTACACGAATTCCTTCCGTCAGACATTATACTACAATAACATGTTTAATTAAACTTATAATTAAGACATAACGGCTACAAAGAGCGGTACGCCATATTTTGATGAATCGTGGTTCTTTGAATAGTTTTGTTTATTCTGCCATTTAAAAGCAGAAAATACTATATATAATTGTGGTACCATGAACAGAAACGGGTATTAAAAGAGCATTTATTACTAATATAAAAAATGTATTTTATATATACCTGTAAGAACTACAGAAATTAAATAATGAGTCAAGGTAGTGTCTATTTTGGAGGCCTCTAGCAGCTAAACAATAAAAGGTTGACCCGCGGTTGTGGGACAGACAGAATCAAAAGTGGAATCTCTTACTCGTCTTTTGCTCAAACTGTACACGAATCTTTTATGAGCTTTGTTTTACACTTCTCACGAGATGTGGGTGGTATCGTTAGTAGCCTTTCTAATAGTATCCTTGAACGGTCAAACCGAAAATTACGCATGCTTTGAAGCATTCACACAACTACTTGTACAACTATTGTTTTTTCACATTGTTAAGATCAAATTGTTGCCGATGCAAATTCAAGAATGTGCACGCAAATTAGTAACTGAAAATGAGGAACACAAATTAGACAAAATGCGCTGGGCAATTTCGAAACCGTGTTTCTTCAGGATTGCACTAAACGTTGATAATCTTCCCCCTTGCCACAGACATAACACAAATTTCATTGCATTATTTATAATGCTACTAAAGTTTATAATGTTTTAATGTTATATAAACTAATCAGCAATCGAGACTTGTTTGGGATGGAATACTATTTTTATTTTTGAGAAATTATATTGAATTTTTTTTTTTTTTCACATAAAGGGAAGTCGGAATATGATGATGAAATCACAGGAAGTTCTGTCTAGTTCACGGTTTGTTCACTGTGTTGTAGCAACGTGGACTTAGTGCTACTAATATAGCCTAGGTAATTTGTGGATGAAGTTTCAAAGCAATCTTACAGTCTTTTGTTTTTTAATTAAATTGCATTTATTTTGTATCTTGAATATTTAAACAAAGTATTAGATAATTCAATTTAATAATACTTAACTTTGGTCATGGCAAATTTTCAGGTTTTTCTGGGATTTAGTTACCTCATTCAGCATCGGACAAGTTTAAATTAATTAATTTGTAAAGCATTAACCAAGTATGTAATTTGTATATTGGTTCTACTTATAATTTATATTTCGTAAATGTACTGACAGTGGATGTTGTTAGTATTCAATACAACAATAGTAGCAGGTTACATGCAGTACAGTAGCATTGGTACTGCTGTTGCATTTAGTGATTTTTTACTCTAGTGAATAATTTGTTTAGTGGTAGACTACTTAGTGTAGAGTTTCAGTGTTTTTGTCATACAAGTTAGATTTCATTAATTATATTTGTTGACATTAAAAACAAAGCAACAAAATCCCAAGATTCAGAGAGTGTAGATACCAGATGAGCATTCCACACATGAGTTCATGAGAAAGGAAACCATCATTTCACGTTTTTCCAGTGTGAAATAATGCAAAACTTGTAAAACATTTTAACAGAATATATCTCCTTAAGAAATCAATTGTTGATGTTTTTTAATGTAACTTAAAACTGTTTCTGAGTTATTAGTAGCCCAATGGCCTGGCATGGCCAGGTGGTTAGGACACTTGACTTGCAACCTGAGGGTTGTGGGCTCGAATCCCTGTCCCGCCAAACATGCTTGCCCTTTCTGTTGTGGGGGTGCTATAATGTAATGGTCAATCCCACTATTAGTTGGTAAAAGAGCAGCCCAAGAGTTGGTAGTGGGTAGTGATGACTACCTCCATTCCCTCTAGTCTTTCACTGCTAAATTTGGGATGGCTAGCACAGATAACCCTTGTGTAGGTTTGCACAAAATTCAAAACAAACCATTGGCAAAGTCATGGTAATGGGAAAAAATCTAACAATAAATATCTACCATTTTCATACTCTTACCTTCAAATCTGGTGTCAACATAGATGATTTATATAAATATAAGTGATAGTGGGCATGATTCTTCTATTGTTACTATCCAAACATAAGCTTTTTTGTACATATGTGGTTAATTCAGTTGTATTTTTGATGATATTCTAGAAGTATAACTAAATTTTTAACTATTTTTTAAAACCTTACTGAGAGCTGTAAAATTAGCAGAATGGCATTATCATGTGTATATTCTCAGAAACATTTGTGTATGCATGTGTGTATTTGAGAACTTATGAATGAAAGCAAAAATAATGTGTAATAATAATATGTGAACCACATTCAATCTTCCGTATCTAATGCCATCAAGGCCTTTTGCCCAATACCAGGGCTCATCAGGCCAGCTGGAACATGACAGACATAATAATGGTCAAGGTAATATTTATGTAATTATTATTTAATAATATTTTATATAATTTAACTCATTTACAAATCAGAATTAAGTTAAGTATTAATAACATAATGTTATTTATCTTATTTTAAACAAAAGTTTTTTATTATTTTTATTTGAATTTACTCTACTATCATTCAAAAGAATTAATGGACCAGCAAGTTAGTCTTTTTATTATATATATATATATATATATATATATATATATATGTGTGTGTGTATATATGTGTGTGTGTGTGT